TTGTCATCAGGCAGACGTAGCACGGCATGATGAAGACGGGGGTCAATTAGAGGAGTTTCATCACCTATGTTAAGGTGACTATAAAGTGGTGAGTTTGCCAGTGACTGTGAATAATAAAGTCATCAATATGGAGGTTGACATGGGAACGGCAGTGTGATGCATTAGCGAACAAACTTATAAGCTATATTTTAGTACCACTAAGTTAGATCGCACAAGTGTTACTTTAAAGTTCTATGACGGTTCATCACTTAGACCTTTAGGATTAATCACACCGGAAGTTTGTTACGGTGGAGAAAAAAAAGATTAGAATTGTTTGTTGTTAAAGGAGGAACCACACCCTTGTTGGGCAGGCAGTGGTTATCTGAATTAAAAATAAAATTACCATTATCACCAACTGCCATAATTGGAGAGTAACCAAGGTAAATTAGATGATCAATTGAAAAATTTGTTTTCCAGATATAAAGAATTATTTGATGGAGGGCTGGGACGGTACACGGGCGGAAAGGCGACGTTAAGAATCCGCGAGGGGGCAGCGCCGGTGTTTCATCGCGCGCGGCCGATACCGTACGCGCTGCGCGAGCGCGTTGACGCCGAGCTGGACGCGATGCTGCGCGACGGCGTCATCGAGCCCGTCGACGGCTCCGACTGGGCCTCGCCGCTGGTACCGGTAAACAAAGCTGACGGTTCGTTGAGAATTTGTGCGGACTATAAGGCGACGATAAACCCTGTTTTGTTAGTTGATCGATATCCCTTACCTAGAGTTGAGGACTTAATTTTTAGGTTGAGTTGGTCGAAATATTTTTCAAAAATTGATCTGTCGTAAGCCTATAATCAGATAGAGCTAGGCGATACTAAAAAGTTAACCGTAGTTAATACGCACCGCGGCTTATTTCAGTATAATATTATAGGTTAGTGTATGGGCTAGCATCGAGTGCTGGAATATTTCAACGTATTATGTATAATTTGTTAAAGGACATCCCCAATGTCGAAGTATTTTTAGACGACATCATAATCGGCGGGAAAAATAATTTCGACCACCTTCAAGCTCTAGAAGCTGTCTTTAGCAGGTTACATAAGAACGGATTGAAATTAAAAAATCATAAATGTATATTTTTATGTAAACGAAGTGCAGTTTATAGGGTATGTACTTAGTAAAGACGGGGTAAAACAGACCCGAAAAAGATAGAAGCAATTGCTAAACTACCTAGGCCTTGTAACATGACCGAGTTACGGTCTTTTTTGGGTTTAGTAAATTTCTACCCAAAATTTATTAAAAACATGAGTAGTAGGCTCGTACCATTATACCAATTACTAAAAAAAGGTCAGAATTGGTTTTGGTTGAAGGAATTTGAGCGCGCGTTTGTTGAAGTCAAAAATGTATTAATCAGCGCGGAAGTATTAGCTCACTACGACCCCCAGCGGCCTGTTAGAGTAACGTGCGACGCGAGCGACAGAGGGATAGGGGCCGTGTTGTCGCAGCCGAGTGACGACGGCAGTCGCGAGCGCCCCGTGGCCTATGCGGCACGCACGCTTTTTTTTTGCGCCCGAAGCAAATATGGGTAACCCTCCGGAAAGCGGGGGAGGGAGGTTGAGAATGCTCATAGCATACCACGCAGCCGGCTGCGTGGTATGTGGTGACTCTTACCCACTAAACTCAACCTTTTAGGAATTTGAACCTTTTAGGAACCTTTTAGAAATCTCTAAGCCATATACGAACGCGACCCTCCTTGGCAGAAAGGAGGGCGCAAGCGGTGAAAAGCCGCTTAGAAGAGTGCCTTACTAAGGCAGATTAAGGGATGTTATGTAGGCTCGGCTTGAGCCGCCAGCAGGCAGTTCAGGTCAGCCGAAAGATTGTTGGGGGGGTCCGAGAAAGAGTTTCTCGGTCTGCGCACACTATAGCGAGTGTGGATAGGGGCTGCATAGGCAGCTGTCTCATGGCTGTCTCAGCTGGTGGGATTGTTGGGAGCTTTAAGTCTCGATGTAGGTCGGCATTACGGACATAATAGTGGCCCTACGACAGAATAGACTGTCACGCACGCTTAACGACGCCGAGAAAAACTACTCGCAGATACACCGCGAGGCATTAGCGATTATATTTGCCGTAAATAAATTCCATCAGTATTTGTACGGTCGGCATTTTACTCTGCGCACAGATCACAAGCCGCTAGTGTCCATTTTTTGACCTAACACAGGTATACCGACTGTGGTATGGTATGGTATGGCGAGTCGGATGCAACGGTGGGCAATTATTTTGTCTCCTTATTCGTTTGATATTGAGTACATACGTACCGATGTGAACGGACCGGACGGCCAGTCGCGGCTGCCGCTGTCGTCTAGTAAGATGACTCATGCGGCGCACGAGCTAACGTATTTGCATTTTGTTCAGCAATCATTGTTGTTAGATTATAATAAAGTTAAAAATGCAACCACTCGGGATCCAATTCTCTCGAAGGTTATTAGCTATATTCGGGATGTGTGGCCAGGGGAATATAATATTAAGGGTTTACAACCGGTTTTTTAATTGTAAAAGTGAATTATATGATGAAATAGTATAGGAAGTAATAGTAAAAAGAAATAGTACGGAAATAGTAGAATAATGTGGGGGCATAGACTAGTTCCGGGGGCCTGTAAGGAAAAAGTTTTATGTATGATTCACGAACCTTAAATGGGCATTGTCAAATCCAAGGCTATAGCTCGAAGCTATGTTTGGTGGGCCGGTGTGGACGAGGCGGTGGAGCGGATATGCCGGGAGTGCGAGATATGCGCGGCGCAGGCGAATGCTCCGCCAAAACAGACGCCTCGTATGTGGCAATGGCCCAATTGTCCTTGGTCAAGGATACATTTAGATTTTATGGGGCCCGTTTTTGGAAAAACGTACTTGGTAGGTGTCGATGCGATGTCAAAATGGCTAGAAATCTATCAAGTAGTGAGTAAGGCAGCCACGGAGGTAATAGATAAGTTAAGGGAACTTTTCAGTCGTTGGGGACTACCCAAACAAATCGTTACGGACAACAGTCCCCCGTTCTCAACTATAGAATTTAATAACTTCATGTGCAGTCAAGGTATCGATCATATTTTCACGGGTCGGTATCACCCTGCTTCGAACGGGTTAGCTGAGAACGCGGTAAGAACCTTGAAGCGGGTTATAAAGAAAGCGGTGCAGTAAAAACAAAACGTAGACAGGGCACTACAAACTTTTTTGCTATATTATAGGAATAAAGGAATACAGGGAAAACAGGATTTAGAAGGTGCAACGACACCAGAAAGACTTAGCCAAAGGAGGAGACGGGAAACTGAATCCTTCGGAAGATGTTTGGTATAGACAATACTTGAAAGGGGAAAAGTGGGGCAGTGGTCAAGTAGTAGACGTTAGGGGTCCTAACAGCTATACAATTAGGGAAAAAGGTGGCGAAATAATTCATAGGCATATAGACCAATTGAAAAGGAGATCTTTAAGGACATCTATGACATGTCCTTACAATGATCCTCAGTCAGGTTGCAGCACAAATTCAACCAACGAGCCGACGGTGACACCAGAGGTGGGAAAGGCTCAGCCGGGTCGGTCGACGGATCGGGAGGACCCGTGGGGTGTTAGAAACCTCAGTCTGAAATCGGCTTAAAGGAGTCTGCAAGAGAGACGACCAGTGAGAACCCGGGTTCACAGGCGTATAAGGATACCTTGCCAAACGTTGTACCGCCCACAGAGCCTCGGAGTCGCCCTATAAGGCAATGTAGACTCAAAAAACTTATTATTGATTAAACGCTGATACAATAATGTTAAGTAGTTAAGTTATATTTAAGATTAGCATAGTAATAAATAAGTGTAGAGGAGTGTAATATAAGGTAGTAAGGTTAAGACTGATTATATAGGTGACGGGTAAAGGGAGATAAGACAACGAATTCATTGTGGAATAAACGGATAGAGATTGCGTTACGTTTTTTTGTGTTCTCTCCGACTTTTATATACATTACACTGCACATAAGGACTTTGGTATTAGACAAGTTTGGTCACTCGATGGTAATATACACGTCAAGTTGCCTTGTGGTAAGCGTCATCGACTGTCGGACACCAAGGACCTCCATGAGCTCATTACACAATATCAAAATGCAGCTGATTCTACAACAAAGTAAGTTCACCAAATGTTAGCAGCAGTAGTGCACCAAAGTCGACGGCGAAGTCAAAGCGCATAATATGCAACAAATAACTCACATCGATCATAAATCATGAAAAAAACACAGGAACTCATATTTTATACAGTCCAATGTGCAAAAATGACGTTTTATATTATAATTTCGATATATCGTGAAAATGGCAAAGTTGTTTTCAACAAAAATGGCGTTGCTCAATAAACAATACATAAAAAACAAATAAATATATACATATGATTGATTTTATTTCAGTTTATTAGAGACTCCTACCGAGTGTATATTATTACGATGTCGATATAATTTTATGTTATATATTTCTTTACTTTATGAAATTTCGAGTGTTTTTTTTCTATATAGTTATTTGAGTATAGTAATTTAGTTATTGCTTTTTTCGAGCTTCATGAAGACACAGAAATTTGTGTACCACATACATTTTCAGAAAAATTACGGAATTTGATGTTTTATAGTGTGACTCAGACGACGGCGATCTCAGCGAAGAAGAGGAAGAAACATTTTTATATAAGTTAAGTTACAGCCTATATACGTCCCACTGCTGGGCTCAGGCCTCCTCTCATTTCTGAGAGGGTTTCGGGCAAGGAAGTGTCCGCCGCGCTGCCCAAATGCGTGTTGACGAACTTCACATGTCTTCGAAATATTTTTTTTTCTTATTCCTCAGACATGCAGGTTTCCTCACGATGTTTTCCTTCACCGCCGAGCACGTGGTAAATCAGCACTTAAAATTGCAATTAACAATTTCATTGGTGCCGGCGGGGATCGAACCCGGGTTACTCGCGTTCTGTTATATTTACAGCGAGCGTTAACCACTGAGCTACCACGGCTCATATATAATAATGTTGTAAGTTATTTATTGTACTCTGGTCTTTATTATAATTATAAATATGAGTGCAAATAGTGGTTGTATAACGTGACTGATGATTATGAGGTCACGGGTTCAAATTCTGGGTTGGGTCAATAAAATTATTTAATGAGTTTTTCCGTCAAGAAATTCCCAGTAGCAGCCCGGAGTCAGGAAGTTGGCACTGTCTCACCCCAGCACCACGAAAAGCATCTATCTAAAATGTCTTATCATGCTTGTTTTTCAGGAGCAGGATATGCAGTTTGCAATTTGCATGCATGTTTGATGAACACGGACAGCAGTTGGAGTGTCCAAGTCTCCCTTTAGGACCCGCACCTTCCACTGAGCCAGCACAAGTAAATCCGCCATTGCCAGTGGCACCATCTTTTATGTAAGTTAATTTTGTTATTATGATTGTATTAAAGCTTGTTCAAAAAAGTATGTACGTCGAAGCTACTACAGTTTTTATAAACTTTGTCTATATTCAATGAAAATTCTTCACTCTTATAAATTAGAGATGTTAAAAACCCTCCGTCTTGGGAAGAACGAGTTAGAAATCTAGCGAGACTTTAGGTGAATGGAATTAATTTACAATAAGTTTATAGAATAAAATTAGTATGAAAACATTTAGAAACAGCATGGTAACAATCTCCTCATTCCCAAGGTTTATTATCGATCACATACTCTTAAGTAGTATAATAACCTTTAATAAACAAATTTTGCTTACTAAAAATTTAAACTGATTGATAAGGGCTTATATTTTCTGGCACTTTGTTGTCTATGCTGATTTTCAAATAGAGCGCAATAGTAACTTCACGGACGGACATACATTACCTAAAACTTAAACCAAAAAGGGGTGATGGATTATCTTGAACCAACAAATTCTTGTTTGGTCATAATATTGCTGTTTGATATTTATATAAGCATATACCTACGTGCCCCATGAAGGAATTATACTAACTCTTTGGAGTCTAGTAACTGTTGTAACTAGTTACTATTTTCATCTTTCATTCTGTCTAGTTAACTTGTATATAATTATTCTACTACACACATTTATGTATACTTAATAGTTTATAGGAGCCGTGGTAGCTAGGATGGTAGCTGGTTAGTTTCATTGTATTAATTCTTATTTCAATAGATAGTTTTATCATTAAGGTCATTTATGTAGCAGTAATTTAATCGAATTGGATATTTAATTTAGAATTTATCACAGGTATAAAAATGCAATACATGAACCGTTCGACGCCGCGTCGCCGCGACGTTCTCTACTCTATGGAGTATTTTAACGGGACTTTTACTGGCAGATAACTGGTTTTTTTTTATAGGATAGGGTGACAAACGAGCACACAGTCCATCTGATGGTAAGTGGTTGCTGCGGCCAATAGACATCTACATTTATCCACGATGGCAAATCAAAATGCACTACTAAGATGGAGTGCCTCATTTCCAGTAAAAAGGGTCTCCGGTTCTCTACACTCACCATACGAAACACAGTAGCATTAAGCGATTATTGTTATAAGGAATAATTAGGGTTATTACAAATAACCTATGAAATCTAATGGTCATAAATTAATACGCATGCGAAGTCGCGGGGAACGGCCAGTATTACATAAAATATGTATGAACTAAATGATATTATATAATTTTATATTTGTCTTGCAGGCGAAATGTTCGTCCAGAAGTGGTCGTTGTCGTTGCGCGGTTATATGAGGAGAACGGCAACGAGTACTTGTTGGCGGACCAGCGTGAACTACATCACGAGGAGGTGGTGGCGAGTTCGAGTGGTGGTGCTGTGCGAGGCGACCGCGGTGCTCGCGTCTCCGCCTCCTCATCGTGGCGGCGCGGCGACCACCTTGTACGAGTATGTATGATGCTTTTGCACAAAATTGGTACGAAACAAATACACATGAGCTATTTACCCTGTTTTCTTTTTGGATGATGTTGGGAATCATCCATATTATCCATAGCATCTTGATTTTCTGAAAATTCTTTATTAAAGACCAGTGTTTTTCGCCAATTGTTTTCACGCCATAGGTATCAAAATTTGTGCCGCGCTTTTCATTTTGTAAATAACGCAACACGTACACCTGATTCTCAGCCCATCTTTCCTATTGAAACAATTATAAATCATTTGAATTCCCGCTTTCAATCCGCTTATATCCCTAAACAGGAAATATGTATTGATGAGAGCTTACTTTATGGAAAGGTAAACATTCAAACAATATATAAAGACTAAAGCGGCCCGGTTCGGAGTAAAAACTTTAGAATTCTGCGAGTCTGCTACGGGATACATGTGGTCGTTTTTCGTATACACTGGAAAGGAAAATACCCCCCGATCCTCGATTTCCATCGTCACTTAACGTGAGTACTAAAACTGTACTCAAACTCATTTGGCCACTGCTCGACAAAGGGTATACTCTTTTCATGGACAATTGGTTCAATTGCCCCCCTCCTGGCGAGGTTTTTGAATAAACGTCGAACCGATTGTGTACGAACAGTACGATGCAACCATCAAAATGTGCTATCTCTGGTGTCACTCTGTAAGCTACAGGCAGGTCAGTTCCTGGCGCGGCACTCGGGTTCCGGAAAGGATTCCGTTAATCCCTCCCATCCAAGCCCCATATGCCGCCTCAGTGGAAACCCCAGTTGGTTCTTGATTATAATAAGAATATGGGTGGAACTGATCGTAAAGATCAAATGCTGGAACTATATTTATTGAAGAGAAAACGTTGTGCAAAATGGAACATGAAGCTCTGCAAGAGGCTTTTAAATGTTACCATTCTTAATTCTAGAATTCTTGTAACGAACGGAAACATCATTTGTCTTTTCGTTTACAATTAGTTCAAGACATTATTGATAAACACCTCCATCGAGTTCCGCACTATCATCGCGAGATTAACCCATTTTCGCGACACAAGCGTCTCGACGGCAGATCGCGACAGCGATTTGCCTATCAGATTTTCAACTTATAGCAGCTTGTTTCACTCTGTCGCCTATTAATCACAACTGATAACTTACATCACGGTGAAAAATATATAGTAAATATATAAATATATATAGTATATAGTAAAAATATATATAATAGTTTTGTCAATGTCTAATAATGTAATCGACGTGACAAAGTAAGTGATTTTTCACTGTTGTTTTTATAGACCTATAACGTCGGTCATGGTTATTAAAAATAATATTTCCTAAGCCTAGTCGCCTTTTACGACACAAGGCATGATATGGATATTCGTACACTGCAATGTTTTGAGAAATTATCAATTACCGTGTAATGAAACGGTGATTGATAATTTCTCTAAACATTTAACAAACAATTCGATATTTTAAGTGTTGAACTGGTAATTTCTCAAAACATTTTATTTATCGACAACGTATTGAAATCTTCGTTAACCTAGCGCTCACTTTTAAAAAAAAATATTGTCTGGCTTGACCATAGGTTTGACTAATTGGTTTATTAAAATGTCAAGTCAGTCATGAGTGGTTAAATTACATCAAATTATCCTTATTTTTATGAGTTATTTTCACCTTTAGACTAATATGAAATGTTGCACTACTAGGAAGAAGGGTGTCCGGTACTCGTTACTAAAATTACGAAATACAACATTATTATGCTGTTTTCTCATTTTACGATATAATTCTATATAATTTCGTAATTTTACGATATAATAATTTACGATATAATTCCATATGGGCGAGCTGATCCTCTCATGCTGCGCCCATAATTAGCAGCATTGTGACTTTGCTACGTATTACAATGCCCTTCCATTGTAATATGGAACGTTTATATTAACATTATAATATTAATATGCAGTTAGTGGTCAAATTTCAAAGGTAACTCGTAAGTGTTATGTTACAGTTTTGGTAAACTTTATACGTCGTAGAGTCACGCTGCAACTGTACTATGGTTGTAGCACGAATGGGTCGGCCCGACCGGGGAAAGATCCCGCTCTCTCAGAGTACCAGCGTAAAATAGCGGCTTAATATTACTGTGTTTTTTATGGTGAGTGTAGAAATCCGGAGACCCTTTTTTACTTTAAACGAGGCATTCCATCTTAGTCCTCAGAGGTAACAACGCATCTGCATTTTGATTCTTAATCGAGGGTAAATCCACTTACCATCAGGTGTACTGTGTGCTCGTTTAAATAATACTAGTTTTCACGGATTTTATCGCGTATATTTAACTTTTTAAATACCCGACGACTGGAAGTCTGCAGTCTGTGAACACATATAGGATCGCCCCCGTCACTACATCAAATTTGATAGACCACAAATCCTCGCTAAAGAACACTGATTCCTTCCTAGGATGATTAGCGAGGCTATTGAAATAAAAAAAACATCCTAATTTCAATAGAAAAGATGGCTGGGTGCTACCATCTGCTTGGGATCCTATAATAAATAAAATTAAATCCCAACCCAAGCAAACAACTGCAAGACTTTAAGATACTACAGGCACAGAATAAATAATAGTACTACGCACAGAAATTGCACTCCTTTGATGTGAACTGCTTGCCGACGTTTAATAGCCTTCATAATTATAATTAATCAGATAAATCGCGCACGCAAGCTAAATAAAACTTTATCGCTGCGCGTAAGTGTCCATATTACTTTGCATCTTTTCCGCTTCCTAAGTCACGGCGGACTTTCCGTGGTTATTAAGGGATGTCAATAGAAAGTAAAAAAATACATTGCGAAATGTTAATTATGTTACTTAGGTGAATTACCTATTCTGACCATGAACGACTGACCATACTTTCGTCCCTATGTGAGTTCTGCGATGCCTAACGCATGCAAATTGTCATTCGTCGGGATTCGCAACGCTTGGTTCGGAAGGAATAGGTAGATAGTGTAAACAACAAATAAACCTGAAATACGATTCCTAACAGAAATGTGATCTATTGTACTTACTTAAAAATCTTCTTAGTATACAAAGTTTTAATTACAGTATTTTGTGTTATTGTAACTTAAAATATTTTAATTACAAAATACAAGTATAGGTAGTAGGTATGTATGTAAGTAAATACTTAGATAGTGTATGTGTGTGTGTGATTTCTTCTGTAGACCAAATTATTACTTAATTCTTTTTTGCTGTAAGTATCTATCAAACAAAAAAAAATTAATAAATTCACCTTTCATAATTTCCTTCTAAAATTCTTCAGTAACTTAAAGAATGATATGAAACCTTTTGTTGGTCATTTCATTTAGTATTCATCCACGCAACAGTTATAGTAGGAACGACGTTTTGCTCTTATAATTTATCAAATAGGTAATATATTAAAAATTATATATTATTATATATAATTTTTAAATCATTAAAACTTTTACAACTATTTTTACCTACAATTAACAATACTAAACACTAAACAAAAACTATTTTAACAAGTATTTACATAAAACTGTTTACGTTAACAGCGTAAAAAACTTTAACATTGAATCGCCTACAACGCGCTAGCCCCGACTGCGTATAACGCGCAGGGCGCCTCACGATTTTAGGTAATTATATCACGCAGGTAGCAAGAGTGACAGAGGCCTGCTATAGGTTCATACTGTGTAGATCGGAACAAAAGTTAAATTTTAATCTATGGTAACCGCGGTTAACTTATAAAATCCGTAAAAACTAGTATTTAAATGTGTAGTGTTCGCGTAAATATAAGAAATCATTGTGTGCTCGTGTGTCAGCCTTATTCTATAAACTAAAAAATAAAAATAATTTTTCTTTAAGTTGGTATATTAAGCAAGTTTTATTATACTTTCAACTGTCCATTATGAAATAAAACAAAGATTTTTTTTAATAAAATAAAAACACGTTTTGCTTTGACGAGCACTCCACAGACTACTGACACAATTGAAATCACACAAAATCCAATGATCATTAAGTCAATCTTTTAGTAATTATTTGTTGGCAACATTTTAAAATTCTTTGGCGACAATTCCCACGCATTGGTATTATATATTCGTAAATCTCTACTATGTACGTTACTTATTAATTTGTGACAATGTACAACTGTTTCACCACATACTATTTTGTGTTTGACATTGGCAGAATTAACTTTAAACATTAAAATAAACACATATTAGGTTATAAATGTTAGCTTAACGTATTTATATACAGATTCTTGATTTACTGTAATTAACTTTATAACTACATAGCAATTTTAATGAATAATAAAAAGAAAACCTCATTAATACAGTACCGAATGTACGTTACACCCCTGACTGCGACTTTATTACACCGACAGGTAAAACTAACTTGATTTAATGTTTTGTGGGGAAGTTATAAATCCAAAATTCTGAATTATTATGCAAATTCTTAGGTTTAATTAAACAGAGCCGTTAAACGGTCTTCCTACAACTGCACCTTTGTGATTTTATAAGGGACCCGCCGAGATTTTATCCGGGTTAGAAATTAGTTTTCAGGTGAGAATTTTGTACATATTACAATGACAATTTCTATCACACATGTTCAAGACCAACTTTGAGGTGGAGTTTTCATATAACCACGTGGCACACCTCTGTCTTAAAATGGCGCCGTAAGGGAATCCCTGACCCTTAGCCTCTTGTGGTTATCTTAAGAGACAACTTAAGAAAATTAAACAAAAGATGGACAGTAGCATCTTCTCAATAAGAATTCAAAATAAAATAACTGCAGGTGTCAACCCGCACGCGCAGTGTGGCAACTATGGCAAATATGAGGGAGGCCTATATCAAATTGTGGGCTTTTAATAGGCAGTAATAACGATGATGATTATGGTGATGTGCTTTATTCTATTTTTGATGCATCAATCGAGTGGTGATCTGAAACTTTACCGCAGTTACCGCTTATACTAAAAGGTAAATGTGGAAGTGAGGAGGTAATGATCCAACGGGCTAACAGTCTTTTTCATGAGAGTGACAGTTACAATTATTTGACTCTCACTTTTGCGCTGACATTAATGA